GAGGCTCGGCTGGCCCCAGCGCAGACGCGGCGACGCGCCGAGCGTTCTCGAACGCCTGGGCCCGCCACGACCCGCTGCCCGAGATCGCCACCCGCTCGCACAGCACTGGGCGACCATCGGCACGGCGGCCGATCACCGCCGGGCCCACCGCGACGTCGGCCTCGCTCGGGGACAGCTCGTCGCCCAGGCCCAGACCTCCACCAGCGTGGAGCTCCGCCACCAGCAGCACGCTCCCGGCGTCCTCGAGCGGGCCGTCGACCAGGACGGGGCGAGTCGACTCCTCGTCGCCTGCCACCTCCAGCACGCGGGCGCCGTTCCTCTGCGGGCGCTTCCCTCGCAGCCGTCGGCGGGCCGCCTCCAGCACGTCTGCGCCCAGCCCGCACTCGTCACCGTGCCAGTCCACCATCGTCGTCGGATCCTCGCCGAGGTGCGCGCCCAGCTCAGGGGGGAGGCGGCGGCGACGGCACTCCTCGCGCGCCAAGTCGCGGCCCTCCAGCACCATCTGTCGCAGGGCCTCGCGACCCACCTAGGCAAGCGCACAACGCGGCCTGCCGACGGCCCAAGAGGCCCCCAAGATCGCCCCAAGATCGCCCAAGAGGTCTCCAAGATGGCCCCATGACGGCCCAAGAGGCCCCCAAGAGCCCCCAAAGAGGGCCCCAAGACGGCGCAAGAGGCCCCCAAGACGCCCAAGATGCCTCCAAAACGGCGAAGATGGCCCCAAGATGCCTCCAACACCGCCCAGATGCACCCAAGACGGCCTGAGATGGCCTTCAGATGGCCTAAGACGGCCCAAGAGGACCCCGAGACGGCCCAAGAGGCCTTCAAGAGGTCTTCCAGGAGGGCCCGAAGAGGCCAAAATCATTGATTGAGCAACGGCCCCTCTTTTTTGCGGAGACTGATTCTAGCGAAACTCTGGACTCGCCGTGGCCAGAGACTTCGGGAGTCTAAAGGCATGCCTTAAAACTCCTTCCCCCCAGGGTTGGGGGGGTGACCGGGGTGGGAGACCGACAAACAACTTGAGGATGAACGGCAGCAGGGAAGAGAAGCGACTGGACGGTTCCTGCTGTCTCTGTGTGGACAAGGGAAGCCGAGAACATCACCAAGACGGCCCCTCTGCTGAATCCGTTCTAAAACCTCCAGAGCAACGGCCCCTCTTTTTGCGGAGACTGATTCTAGCGAAACTCTGGACTCGTCGTGGCCAGAGGTTTCGGGAGTCTAAAAGCACGCCTTAAAACTCATCGCCCAAATCATCCCGAAAGAATCCAATGAGGATGTTCACTTGGGCGGGAACAAAAAGGGTGGGTGAAGCTAGCTCTAGTTCCAACGATGCTGGCCAGCAGAGTCGAGACCATGGCCTTCGCCATATCTCTGGGAGATTCAGAAGCGATGCGCGTGCGACGGAGGCCACCCGGCCCTCCGCCGCTCAGCTGCCAGCGCGGGCGTTGGGTCTTCGAGCATATACAGCCCTTTGGTCTACATCGCTGGGTGAGTTTAGTCAGATCTTCAAAGTTCACATTGCCGCACAGAGTCCTAGTAGCCTTCTTCTATTTAGCGCCGTACTGGCACTGGTCGAGCTCGACTAAAAAGACATGCTTACAATGGGAGAGCTCGCACATTTCTGCAGCATGCCAGAGTCGGCTGGCCAGCGGACGCTCGAGCATGACAGGAATGCCTCGCCGCAGAAAAAAATCTGCACAAGGACAGAGCGACTCGAGCAAGACGATTGCCGAGGTGCACAGCTGCCGCATCGGCAGCAGTCGAAAGAGAATCGTTGAGACCCCAGGGCTGCTCGCGGCTTCGCACGGGTCGAGACCTGCCACGAGCCAGCGAAAAAGTTTGGCACGGCGGAGCCATCACTGCAGCCACTAGCCGCCCACCTCGGGCGTCTGACCTGATGGCCCGCAGGCCTCTTGGCGAAAGCAAGTCCTGCCACTCGGCATCATAGATGACGTCCCAGCTTCGCGAGCGGAACCCCAAACTGTCGGCTGCACGTGAGATTGCTCTGCAGCCTGCAAAAGGATCGGCCAGGTATTGTCCTTTTCCTAGGCGAGAACGATAGAGCCGACCCCTAGATCGAGCCCCCCTGTAGCCGAGGTGCAAACGGGTTAGTTTTGCTCAAGACACACGCTGAAGGGCTGCCCCGTCAGGATCTGGGTAAACTGCCTCTCTGCCTGCTCGCACACTGCACGCAGGGATGGGGCCAACTTCGAGTTGCTGCTCCCCAGCCTGCTGCTGCGCTCGTAGCGGTGCATGGACTTGGCCTGGGTCCACTCGCCTCGCCTCTGAGCCGAAGTGAGATTGCGCCATCCCTTGGCCAGGTCGATGCTGGCCCCCGAGTGCCTCATCTGATACAGGGTGACGGGAGCGACTCCGAGATCCCCCGCCGCTTCTCTCAGCAAGGCCAAAGCCTCGGAGCAGTCGAGATCCACGGCGGCTCCTTCGAAGCTGCTGAGCTCCGCCGTTTGAACACTGCATCCAAGCCCTGGAGGTACGGAGAGTCCAGCGGGCATCCCTCGTCGAAGTGGCCCCTCTTGCTGGGCCTCCCCCGCTCCCGCGGGTGAGTCAGCAAGGCCCAGTGACGGCTGACCACTGTCGTCGGGGGGGCGAGGTCGCACCTCCGGGCGGCCAGCAAGGTCGAGGGCCGCGAATAGGTCGAGACACCGACCATGAGGAAGAGCGCAAGCCGAAGATGCCCTCGACGCACCAGCTTCCACGCCAGGCCGCACCAGACCGGGAGGGCCAAGGCCTTTCGCCGCCGCCCAGGGGTCAGCCTGCGCCAAGCTCTGAGAGACCGCCAGGCGCGGGGCAGCTTGCGACCCCCGATTCGCCCGAAGTCGGGGTTCGCGCTGACCAGGGCCGCCATGGTCTGATCCCCATCGCTGCTCTGCTCGCCCTGCAAGTAATTCTCGGTCAAGTAGTTGCAGAACAGCTCGTCGATCTCCGCGTCGGCCTTCGCGAGGAGCCCCCCGCCTCAGGCCGACACGCGAGTAGAAGAGATCGAGGTAACGCTGATACCTCACTTGCGTCGGCTGCGTCACGACCACGGTCTCCAGGAGGCCCACCCCGGCTTCCTGAGCAGCAAGGATCGCATCGGCGCACAGCTTCGCTCGCATCTGCGCCCTCCGAGCGCGCAGCTGCCGCACCCGTACGCGGCCGCGCCCCAGGTGCTCGATTACCGAGTCCGAGCCGCTGGAGCTGCCGTCGCCCTCGGCGGCCCCCCCATCCGTCTCCAGCGAGGTCCTGACCGTTGGCGCCCCTGTCGTCGAGCGCCAAGAAGCGCCGCTCCTTCTGTGCCGCCCTCGTTGGCACAGCGGAGGGGGCCGGCACCAGTGCACGTCGGCGCCCTGCAGCAGGCGGGGCGGCCGGCGCCTGGGCGCCCCTCGGGCCAGCCCGCGCACGGCTCGCCACGTGTCTGGCCGTCAGTGCCCGCGAGCCCCCCGCTGTCCGCGGGGGCCCCCCGCCTGTGGGCAGCGCCGGCTCCCGGGCGACAAGCGCGCTGAGCCCTCGCAGCCGCTTCGGACCCATGCTCAGAGCTCTCTACATTGATCGGAAGCTCGGCGATGGTGGCCAGAACCGAAGGTTTTGAGCCAAAACGCCAACTGACAGGACTAACAGACACGTCTGGTTTGGGGGCGGCTCTTGGAGGACGGGTTTGCAGATTCAAACTGGCCTCGAACTTGTCGTCGAGAAGAGATGTTATTACACTACTGTCGCTCTCTGAAAAAAAAACCCTGCCGCCTTCGTCACTCCCATTAAACTCCGCGGGGGTCCATCGAAAGGCGGGCGAGAGACCCAACGCTATGGCATAGGCATAGAAACGACGAATCTGGACCAGAAGACTGAAGCATGAGAATCGGGCCCTCGAAAAAGAAAGCACCACAGACATGTTATCGGAAAGGAAAAGCTGACGCACACGGATTCCATGCGAGGTCTTGGCCAACCTCTGGACTGCTTGAACAAGGGCCCTGGCCTCCAGGATCAAAATGCCTTCGGGAAAACGCCAGATCCCTGAGCGGACCGTCTCCCAGGCCCCTTTTTCGGAGCCCCTTCCAGGGGACGTCGGCAAAATCAGGATCAACATCCCAGGCGGGCAAAGCATCGGGCTCAGAGGAATCCCCATTTACCACACTCTCGACGCTGCGGATCATCCCCGAGCTATATTGGACCAGGCTGGCGGCTGCGAGCGCGCTGTCTCGCGCAGGCCTTGCCTGCTCTGAGCGAGAACGGGCCCGCTCGGGCAGCCCCCCGACCTCCTCCACCACGCGGAGCGGCCAGAAGGACTGCGCCATGCCCCAGCCGATCTCGCTGGCGTCGGTCTGGAGCACGCAGTGGTTCCAAGGGCGCCACCAGTCCTGCACCATCAGCACGAGCAGGCCGCGGAACATCTTCACCTCCTTCACGACCTCGGGCCACAGGCGAGCGGGCTCGAGGTAGCGCCGCTGGATGAAGCGGTAGGAGGCGCGCCAGCAACTCAACGAGCCCCGCAAAGCTAGCCCACAGAAGGCGCAGCGGCCGAGCAACATCTCCAGGGCCCGCCCCGTCGCGCAGCCGCGCGCCAGCAGGACCCCCAGCCCCACGTACACCTTCCAGAAGCGGCCGTCGCCCACGCACGATCTCATCAGCTCGAGGTCCAGCTTGGTGCTTGGTCCCCAGAGCCTCGCACGGGCCTGAGGTCACGGAGCTCTTGTGCAGGTCGAGGCCGACCCCCTCAAAGAGCCCCGCCCGCTGGTCGAGGACCTCCTGCGCGATGGTCTCTGACAGGGTGATGACGCCTAGGTTGTCGACATACACGTAAGCCCCTCCTACACGGCCAGGCCAGGCTCGACATCCATGACCAGCGGGGGCCCTCGGTCGCTCACGAGCAGCCTCGCGGAGATCGCCATATCTCCCCCGGCCAAGGGTTCGAGCTGACCGCTCTCTCCTCGTTGGCATCTTGTGCCAGGAAGAGCGACAACGAGAAGCCCATGGGGAGCGCTCCGACGCATGGGAAGACCAGGGTGTCAGGCCCCAGTCGAGCCCCCATCGAGCTCTTGGCCCGCGAGCCCCAGGACGTGGGCGGGTGCGGCCGGCAGCGAAAAGAACTTTGCTAAGCTCAGGGGGATCCGCATGCGGTAGAAGCAGCCCTTAACGTCCGTCATCCCCAGAAAGAGCCTGAACTTGCCCAGCAGCTCCTCCGCGCGGGCGGAGCCGATGGTCACGCCCTCGGGGAGCCTCACCTCCACGCGCCCGAAGCCCTCGCAGGAGAGGAGCTGCACGCTGGGCGGCACGTTGAACCAGGCGCTGGCACGTCGGGCGCCCACTATCATCCGCATCTTGTGCCCGTCAGACTTTTTCACGAAAAAGAAGCCGGCCTGCTCAGACGGCTTCAAAGTTGCCAGGAACAGACCTCGCGACGTGAGATCCTTCAAAAAACTGCGGTACTTCTTCTTGTTCCGCTTCAGCAGCGGGTCGAAATACGGAGTCGGCAAGCTGTCAAAATCGATCTCGTGGATCGGCCGCCTCATTCGCTTGTGATTCTCCTCCAGATAAGTGCGACCAGCCTCGCCCACGCTGTCTTCCACCTGGCGGCAGCCGACAATCGACGGGGGCAAAGACACGCGGTCGCGGACGAAGGAGGCCAGGTTCCTCGGGGAGCCCGATGCGTCGTAGATCGAGCACCCCTTGAGCAGCGCACTGAGCGCCGCCTCGCGGGACGGACAGGGGCTGGGAGCTGCGGCCCGACGCCGAAGAGCTTCGCTTGCCACCCACTGCACGATCCCAGCACGCTTGCCCCAGATGGAGTCCAAGGGGCGCGGCGGACCAGCGTCGGAGGGCCCCCAGCCAGCAAGCCAATTGAGAGAGTCGATCGCGCCACTCGCCAATTCATGCACCTCCGCCCGGCACCAGCAATCCGGGCGCGGCTGCCGCCCACGCTGGCAGGCGGCGCGGCCAGGCGAGGAAGAGGGAAGAGGTCCCTGTCTCCGCTCGCCGACGCCAAAGGCGCTCGCCGGGCCGGAGAGGAAGTCCAGCCAGCGGGGGCCCACTCCGCCGACTGCGTCGAGTCCGTCATGGTTGCACGGGCGGCGCGAGGGCACGCGATCGGTTCTTGTCACTCCGACCGCCCCCGCTGCCGCCCCAGCCACCGCCCTTGCCTCCATCCTCGACCGTCTCGCGCGGTGGAGCTCGAGACGATGAGGCGCTCGCAGCGACCGCCTCGGCCTTCTCGTCACCCTGCAATTGCTCGCACTCCTCCTTGGCGCGCCTCGGCACGTGCGAGCGCAAACCTGGAGCCGCGAGCTGATCCACCTCCGTCAGAGGCGAGAGGTACTTCGCATTCGAGTAGGACGCCGTGCCGCTGGTCTTGCGGGCATCGACCAATAGATTCAGTCGAAGGGCCGCGACCTCCAAGCACGCCAATCCACCTAGGTTGAGCTGGTCGAACTCTCCCGCCTCCTCCAGGATGTCACAGAGCACCCTGAGCTCGTGGGGCACCCTGTCCGTGGGCGATATCCCCTTCTCCCTCAGGAAACGTTCCAGCAAGGCTCGGGGCGACCCGTTCAAGTTCATCATGGTCTTGCACGCGTGGAGGCACGTCCGATCCGAAGGCAGGCGATGGTGATCCCACTCAACTTCCGAGCTCTCGGCCACCGCGCGGCGGAAGTCCTTCCGGCGCTCGCCCTGCTCGTCCCAGTCGACCCAGAGCGTTCTCACGTCGTTGTTGGGCTCCTCGGGCGCGACCTCCTGCCGAGCGTCAGACTCATCAGCGAGACCCAGCTTGGCAGCTAGGGGGTCGGGGCCAGGGCGGTCCGTTGGTCCCCAGGGCGGAGGGGTCTCGGCGCCGCCCACCACGGACACTGCGGGCGCCGGCAAGGGGGCGGCACCCAGCAGCCCTCGCAGCTCCTCCAGACGACCAGCAGCCCACTCAACGATGCCGTTCGCGTCCACCTGCTCCAGCCGAGCCCAGCGGCCGCCTCCTGAGAGGTGGGCCAACGCCTGGCTGCCAGCACGCACAACGCCCTCGGGCAAGGGGTCCACCACCGTGCCGACGGGCATCCCCGTCAGCGGCTCAGCCAGCACCCATGGCCGCTCTCCTATCAACCATGGGAAATACTCTCGGCCAGCTCGCTCAACACCGTCGGGAAGCATCACACGTTCCGCGCCCTCGAACTCACGCTGGCCACGGCCAAGCATAGTCTCGCGGCACTCCGCCGCGCGCTCCAGGATCTCGTCCAGGCTTGGGAGCAGGCGGAACCTGTACAAGCGGCGACCGTCTGGAGGGTCCCCCGTCGTCTGGTCCAAGACGGATCCTCCCGAAGGCCCCGTCGCGGGATTCTTCCCGCTGAGGTCCTCCTCCCACACATCGCCGTCGGCGGACAGCACCCAGTACGTCGTCTTCCCACGCAGCCGCCCCCGTGCGTCTCGGCGACGGCATGGCCAGAGCACGATCCTGGTGTGGTCCGTGGCCTCCCCATCGTACGAGACGCGGATCAGCGATCCGACGGGCAGCTCAGCGCACCACTCCTCCGCCACGGCGAGCGGGGGCAGGTGACGTCGAGCGATCATCTTCTTCCGTACGGCTGCGGCGCTGGCAGTGATGCACCAGCCGGCGTAGTTCTCCCAGGAGCGCGACCGTCACACCAGGAGCAGCCGCTGCCACCCAGCCCCAGGGGTCCACCTCGGGCTCAGGCTTCGAGCTCTCCACCACAGGACACACTGGCTGCACCACAGGACACGGCGCCGCCTCCAGCTCAGGGCACGGTGGGCAGCTCTCAGGGTCGGGCGGCAGCCACGCTGGCGGGCACACGGCATGCAGAGCGCAGGGAGGAAGCCCCGGCTCGAATGGCGGATGCAGGCCTCCTGAGAGCAGAGCGATCAGGTTGGCCAGCCCCACGGCCACCAACGCGAGGTGGCCAGGGGGCGCAGCCATCTGAGACCGACGAACTCATTGAGAATGAACGGCAGCAGGGAAGAGAAGCGACTGGACGGTTCCTGCTCTCTGTGTGGACAAGGGACGCCGAGAACATCACCAAGACGGCCCCTCTGCTCAACCCGTTCTAAAACCTCCATGCCTTAGGTTTTTGAAGGATTTGGGAATTTGCTTCGTTTCGGCATTCCGACGGCTCAAGACGGCCCAAGAGATCGCCCACGAGGCCTCCAAGATGGCCCCATGACGGCCCAAGAGGTCCCCAAGAGGGCCCCAAGACGGCCCAAGAGGCCTCCAAGACCGCCAGAATGGCCTCCAAGACGGCTAAGATGGCCCCAAGATGCCTCCAACACGGCCCAAAAAGCACCCAAGACGGCCTATGATGGCCTCCAGATGGCCCAAGACGGCCCAAGAGACCCCCAAGAGGCCTCCGAGACGGCCCAGAAGACGTCCAGGAGGTCTTCCAGGAGGTCTTCCAGGAGGGCACGAAGAGGCCAAAATGATCGAGTTTCTAAGGTTGTTGATGGATGTTGGCGTTTGCTTCTTCTCGGCATTCCGACGGCTCAAGACGGCCCAAGAGGCCCCCAAGATCGCCCAAGAGGCCTCCAAGATGGTCCCATGACGGCCCAAAAGGCCATCAAGAAGGCCCCAAGAGGGCCCCAAAACGGCCCAAGAGGCCTCCAAGACGCCCAGATGGCCTCTAAGAACTCCTGCTATGCCCCAAGAGGGCCCCAAGACGACCCAGACAGGCCCCCAAGACGGCTTCCGACGGCGTCAGACAAGCCAGGCACGCCCCAAGACGGCCAAAGAGGCCGAAGAAGCCCCCAAAGGCCCCAAAAAACCCTTCAAGAGGCCCCCAGGAAGCTCCCAGGAGGCCCCGAGAGTGCCCCAAGAGGCGCCCTAGAGGCCCCCTCCTCCTCCTCCTCCTCCTCCTCCTCCTCCTCCTCCTCCTCCTCCTCCTCCTCCTCCTCCCCTTTTTTCCTCATCCTCCCCCTCCTCCTCTTCTTGCTCCCCCATGCGTTCCCCGAAGTCTTTCCAAATCGACTCGGGGAACAACTGGCCCGATAGCTTGGCCAAGCTCTGGCCCGGCTGTCGGCAACAGGGGCGCTTCCAAAGGGACAGGGGGCGGCGGTGATTCGCCGAAGGCGTCTTCGATTAACAAGATTCGTATCATGGTTCCTCCTCCTCCTCCTCGTCTTCCTCCTCGTCTTCCTCCTCGTGTTCCTCCACCTCGTCCTCGTCCTCCTCATCCCCCTCCTCCTCCTCCTCGTCATCAGCATCATCAGCATCATCATCATCATCATCATCATCATCATCAGCATCATCATCAGCAGCAGCAGAAACCTCATCGTCGTCGTAACCGTCGTCGTAAACGTCGCCGTCGTCGTTTTATAAATCGTCGCCGAAATCGTCGTGGTAGTCGTCGCCGTCCTCGTCAGCATCATCATCATCACCATCGTCAGCATCATCATCATCAGCATCATCATCAGCATCAGCATCGTCATCATCAGCATCATCATCGTCATCACCAGTACCACCATCATCAGCGTCAGCAGCATCAGCATCATCAGCAACATCATCAACAGCAGCATCATCAGCAGCAGCAGCATCATCAGCATCGTCATCCTCATCATCATCACCATCCTCTCATCGTCAGCATCACCATCATCATCGGCAGCAGGATCAGCAACCACAGCAGCATCCATCGTCGTCGTAATCGTCGTCGAAATCGTCAGCAGCGTCGTCGGCATCGCCATCGAAATAGTAGCCGTCGTCGTCGTAGTCGCCGTAGTCCTCGTCATAATCATCATCAGCATCATCAGCAGTATCAGCATCAATATCATCATCAGCATCATCATCATCATCAGCAGCATCATCATCGTCATCACCAGTATGCATCAGCATCGTCATCGTCATCAGCAGCAGCATCACCCTCAGCATCGTCAGCATCCTCATCTGCAGCATCATCACCATCAGCATCAGCATCATCAGCATCATCAGCAGCAGCATCATCAGCAGCATCAGCACCATCATCAGCATCAGCATCAGCATCATCGCCGTCGCCATCATCATATGACGATTAGTACTATTAGTAGTAGCAGTAGTAGTAGTAGTAGTAGCAGTAGTAGTAGTAGTAGTAGTACTAGTACTAGTAGTAGTAGTAGTAGTAGTAGCAGCAGTAGTAGTAGTAGTAGTAGCAGCAGCAGCAGCAGTAGTAGTAGTAGTAGTGGTAGTGGTAGTGGTAGTGGTAGTGGTAGTGGTAGTGGTAGTGGTAGTGGTAGTGGTAGTATAGTAGTAGTAGTAGTAGTAGTAGTAGTAGTAGTAGGAGTAGTAGTAGTAGTGGCGGTAGTAGTAGTAGTAGTAGTAGTAGTAGTGGTAGTAGTAGTAGTAGTAGTAGTAGTAGTAGTAGTAGTAGTAGTAGTAGTAGTAGTAGCAGTAGTAGTAGTAGTAGTAGTAGCAGTAGTAGTAGTAGTAATAGTAGTAGTAGTAGTAGCGGTAGCGGTAGTAGTAGGCACGAGTAGTAGTAGTAGTAGTAGTAGCGGTAGAAGAATTAGTAGTAGTAGTAGTAGGTAGTAATAAAAGTAATAGCAGCAGCAGTTGTAGTAGTAGTAGTGGTAGTAGTAGCAGTGGTAGTAGTAGTAGTCGGTAAGAGCAGTAGTAGTATTAGTAGTAGTAGTAGTAGTAGCATCAGTGTTTGTATTAGTAGCAGTAGGAGTAGTAGCTGTAGTGGTAGCAGGGTTAGTAGTAGTACTTGGTGTTGTTGCAATTGTCTTTGCGACAGTCGCAGTCGTAGCAATAGTAGTAGCAGTAGTAGTGGTAGTAGTAGTAGTAGTAGTAGTAGTAGTAGGTAGTAGTACTAGTAGTAGTAGTAGTAGTAGTAGTAGTAGTAGTAGTAGTAGTAGTAGTAGTAGTAGTAACAGTAGCAGTAGTAGTAGTAGTAGTAGTAGTGGTAGTAGTGGTGTAGTGTAGTAGTAGTAGTAGTAGTAGTAGTAGTAGTAGTAGCAGTAGTAGTATTAGTAGTAGTAGTAGTAGTAAGAGTAGTAGTAGTAGTAGTAGTAGTAGTAGTAGTAGTAGTAGTAGTAGTAGTAGTAGTAGTAGTAGTAGTAGTAGTAGTAGTAGTAGTAGTAGTAGCAGTAGCAGCAGCAGCAGCAGCAGGAGTAGTAGTAGTAGTAGTAGTAGTAGTAGCAGCAGCAGGATTAGTATCAGTAGTTGGTGGTGTTGTTGTTGTGGTTGCAGTAGTCGCAGTCGTAGCAGTAGAAGTAGTAGCAGCAGTAGTAGTAGGAATAGTCGTAGTGATGGTAGTAGCAGTAGTAGCAGTAGCAGTAGCAGTAGTAGTAGAAGTAGTAGTAGTAGTAGTTGTAGTTGTAGGAGTAACAGTGGTAGTAATAGCATGGCTAGTCGTATTAGGTGGCTTCCCCTTCCTCTTGCTATTAATAGTCCTCGTGCTCTTTCTATTCCTCGTCCTATTACTCTTCCCCCTCAGCCTCCACCTCCACCTCCACCCCCTCCTCATCCTCCACCCCATCCGTTCTCGTCCTTGACCTGCGACTCCACCTACCCCCCCTCCCTCTGGACTGCACGGGCGGCGAGCGCGCGGGCAACCCACGAGCGCGGCGCGGGGCACGGCGCTTCGGCCCGCGGGGAGGGGGGCTGCTGCGCGGAGCCGCGCCTCATGAGCGAAAGAGGGGGTGGAGCAAAGAAGTCACGAGCGGCGAACATATCCGTATCCGCGCCCTCGCGGTCTGGATTCCCAGGCGCGATCCCGCTGATGCGCGGTCGCGCGGATACGTTCCGCGCGGGGCATCCGCGAAACAAATGCCCCGTATCCGCGGGGTCGCGAGGCCGCGGATACGGACATGTGTCTCGCCCACGAAGTAGGGCAGGGCTGGTTCGAAGAGGCGGGAAACGATTAAGGGCGACTGAGCCCGATCAGGGAGCCCGATTCGGCCAAATTGAGCCCAGGATTAAGCAGGACTAGGCGGGATTAAACCAAAGTAAGGGGGACCAGGCCGAAATTGGATGGGTTTCGACCAGGAATAGATCAGCGCAGATGCTGAATCCCAAAAGCCCTCTGGGCGTCGGTGGTCTAGAGAGTTTCCTTTTCAAACCCCCGTTCTTCCCCTTCGAGAAGGGTTTACCCCTCCCCCTACCCCATCCCCTGGACCTGGACAGGGGGTTCCGCGGGTCGTTGGGGCGTCCAAGATGGCCCAAGACGGCTCCAAGAGCGAAAAGGCGGGAAAGCCAAAAAAAAACGTGATTCCCCTGGGTGTTGGAAGGATTTTGGCATCTTTGGGGGCCCAAGGGGCACTCTAGAGGGGCAACGCTAATTCCTACCCGCCCCTTCTTTGATAGATCTCCTCCAACATGGCCCCAAGAGCGCCCCGAAGGCTCCCAAGAGCGCCCCAAGAGCGCCCCAAGAGAGCCCCAAGAGGCCGCAAGAGGCGCCCAAGAGGCATCCAAGAGGTTCCCAAGAGACCCCCAAGAGGCCCCAAGAGGCTCCCCGAGATACGCAGGCCCCCAGGACCGCCAAGAGGCCCCAAAGACGGCCCCCAAGTCCTCCTCCTCCTCCTCCTCCTCCTCCTCCTCCTCCTCCTCCTCCTCCTCCTCTCCTCCTCGTCCTCCTCCTCCTCCTCCTCCTCCTCCTCCTCCTCCTCCTCCTCCTCCTCCTCCTCCTCCTCCTCCTCCTCCTCCTCCTCCTCATTTTTCTTCCTCCTCCCTCATCCCCCTCCCCTCCTCCTCCTCCTCCTCCTCCTCCTCCTCCTCTCCTCTCCTCCTCCTCCTCCTCCCTCCTCCTCCTCCTCCTCCTCCTCCTCCTCCTCCTCCTCCTCCTCCACGTCCTCGCCCTCCTCCATCTCCTCCTCCTCATCTTCCTCCTCCTCCTCCCCTCCTCCTCCTGCTCCTCCTCCTCCTGCTCCTCCTCTTCCTCCTCCTACTCCGACGACGACGACTCCTATATCCTCCCCCTCTTGGGGTATATGGCGACTTACCCAGCCCTTTGTTCTTCTGCATGCTCCCCCGCTTCCCTCATCACCGCCACTCCCCTGGGGGCTCAGTTCTGGACGGGCTGGTGGGGATACGCGAAGAGTTTAGAATGAAATCTCCCAGGATTTGCAACCGAGGGGGAAGGATCGATCCCTGATCGCCCACTCCCCTGAGGGGCAACGATAGGTGGGGACTGGCATAGGGGGGTGGGAAACATCGACCTGGAATCGGCGATACATCGCCGACTGATCAGCGGTAGGCCCCCGATAGTGAATCCGCACCTTCCCGAGCAGGGTGGGGCTATCAGACCAATATCGGCGATCGGTGGGCGATCGGGGGTCGATGCATCCCCCCCTCTGGCCATGGCTCGGACGTCCATTCCATGTTTTTTTCCAACCATCCTGTGGTGTTGGGTCCTCGTTTTGAAGAGACGGTGCCCCGCGTTCCCGCCTCCTTCCTCCCTCCCTCCTCCCCCCTCCTCCCCCTCCCACACCCATTCTGGCACACCCCTCACACGTTTCGTGGCCCCATAGGGAGCTCCACCGAAGGCCCCAGTGGCTGCGCCCGCATGCGGTTCCACCCCCCATTCTGGCACACCCCTCACACGTTTCGTGGCCCCATAGGGAGCTCCACCGAAGGCCCCAGTGGCTGCGCTCCGCATGCGGTTCCACCCCTCATTCGGCACACCCCTCACACGTTCGTGGCCCCATAGGGAGCTCCACCGAAGGCCCCAGTGGCTGCGCCGCATGCGGTTCCACCCCCCATTCTGGCACACCCCTCACACGTTTCGTGGCCCCATAGGGAGCTCCACCGAAGGCCCCAGTGGCTGCGCCCGCATGCGGTTCCACCCCCCATTCTGGCACACCCCTCACACGTTTCGTGGCCCCATAGGGAGCTCCACCGAAGGCCCCAGTGGCTGCGCCCGCATGCGGTTCCACCCCCCATTCTGGCACACCCCTCACACGTTTCGTGGCCCCATAGGGAGCTCCACCGAAGGCCCCAGTGGCTGCGCCCGCATGCGGTTCCACCCCCCATTCTGGCACACCCCTCACACGTTTCGTGGCCCCATAGGGAGCTCCACCGAAGGCCCCAGTGGCTGCGCCCGCATGCGGTTCCACCCCCCATTCTGGCACACCCCTCACACGTTTCGTGGCCCCATAGGGAGCTCCACCGAAGGCCCCAGTGGCTGCGCCCGCATGCGGTTCCACCCCCCATTCTGGCACACCCCTCACACGTTTCGTGGCCCCATAGGGAGCTCCACCGAAGGCCCCAGTGGCTGCGCCCGCATGCGGTTCCACCCCCCATTCTGGCACACCCCTCACACGTTTCGTGGCCCCATAGGGAGCTCCACCGAAGGCTCCAGTGGCTGCGCTCGCATGCGGTTCCACCCCCCATTTCGGCACACCCCTCACACGCTTCGTGGGTGGCTCCATGGGGAGCTCCACCGAACGCCCCAGTGGCTGCGCTCGCATGTGGTTCCCCCCCCCATTTCGGCACACCCCTCACACGGTTCGTGGCCCCATAGAGAGCTCCACCGAAGGCCCCAGTGGCTGCGCTCGCATGCGGTTCCACCCCCTTTTTCGGCACGCCCTTCACACGTCTCGTGGCCCCATAGGGAGCTCCACCGAACGCCGCAGTGGCTGCGCTCGCATGCGGTTCCACCCCCCATTTCGGCACACCCCTCACACGTTTCGTGGCTCCATAGGGAGCTCCACCGAAGGCCCCAGTGGCTGCGCTGGCATGCGGTTCCACACCCCATTCTGGCACACCCCTCGCACGTTTCGTGGCCCCATAGGGGGCTCCACCAAAGGTCCCAGTGGCACTGCCCGCTTGCGTCCGCCACCACCCAGCACAGCCCTTGTTCCCTGCGCTTCACCCACCCAGAACAGCGCTTCGTAGCCCTATAGGGAGCTCCACCAAAGGTCCCAGCGGCACCGCCCGCATGCGTCCGCCACCACCCTGCACAGCCCTTGCTCCCTGCCTGCGTTTCACCCACCCAGTACAGCGTTTCGTGGCCCCATAGGGAGCTCCACCGAAGGTCCCAGTGGCACCGCTCGCATGCGTCCGCCACCACGCAGCACAGCCCTTGCTGACCGCGTCTCACCCACCCAGTACAGCGTTTCGTGGCCCCATAGGGAGCTCCACCGAAGGTCCTAGTGGCACCGCCCGCATGCGTCCGCCACCACCCAGCACAATTGCGGCATTCACAACTGCATATGGTTGGGTCCTTCGCCAGGCTAATTTTTCGGTTTCGTGCGTGGCTTTTTCGCCAAATGATCAAGGATGCTCCTCGATGGTCCTCGCCGAAGGAAAAAAGCACACGTCCGAGCGATGCCAAGCCCTATGCCTGTCCCCCCCCCTATCGTTGCCCCTGATCCCCGCCCGCGCATCGCCCGGCACGCACGTGCACCGTGCCGTGCCGTGCCAGGTCTCTCCGCCATCCGGGCTTTTGGGACGGCGCGGGCTGCTCACGCGGGGGGGGGCCCTGGGACACACAAACAAATACACACAAATAACAGGATCCCCCAAATGTTCCCATGTTGTCGGGGTTTCTGTCTTCCCCCCCACGTCCCATAGTTTCCCGTCTTTTCCTGGGAGTCGACGATCAATTGATTGTGTCTGTGCATTTTTCCCTCCTGAGAGGGGGGGGGCGCGGAGAAGATCGGCGCTCAACCTCAAACGCCCGCGCGGGGGTCGCCGCCGCGTCGACGCGGCGCGAACCTGCCGCGCTGGCTCACGCGGGGAACATCGGCCTGGAGTCGGACCCCGACAGATCGGGGGCACAGACTCCAGGTAGGGTGCAGCGCCCAAGGACCTGATCGGGAATGACTGGGCGATTCCTCCTCCTCCTCCTCCTCCTCCTCCTCCTCCTCCTCTTCCTCCTCCTCCTCCTCCTCCTGCTCCTCCCCCTCCTCCTCCTGCTCCTCCTCCTCCTCCTACTCCTCCTCCTCCTCGTCCTCCTCCTCCGCATGAGACCTTGGCCCCGGCGACCGACCTGCCATCCCTTAGGCGCTGGGGGGTGGCGTCTCTCTCTCTCTCTCTCTCTTTCTCCTTCATGCCAAACACCCATCCCCACCTCGTCGCGGGGGCACGCTGGGAGAGCTGCGCTGCCCTGTCCCGGTCGGGGTGGGGATGGTTCTGACGTCGGGAGCGGCCAAGAGGGGGGTGTCCAAGAGGGTGGGGTGCAAATCATGACCGGCGGCGTGTGCGCGGCCCAGCGGGGGGACCAGGGACGTAATAAAGTGAGAAGAGGCGCCATGAAATCTGGAGAAATATCATGGCCCCCGCCATGATATCCACCCCCTCCCAATCATCAACCCCCTCATTGCCGACCCCGATGACGAAGATGCGGATCTTTGCAAACCCCCCCAGGCCAGCCCCCTCATTCCGCCACCCCTGAAGAAGGAAGGGAACTGGCACGGGGGAGGAGCAGTACAGAGAACGACGCCCGTGCACCGTGGCATGCTTGGACTCTCTCATGGCCCCGCTCCACGGCGGTAACGCGCAACAAATTCTGTGCCCCGACAGTCGTGCCCCGACAGTCCAGATAACAATGACCGCATCACTTCTGGGTCGAAAGACCGAGGCACCACGAGAACTCACGACTGGCGCACCATCTTCCTGCTGCAGTTTTCGAGTCGGATCAATCTTGGGCGCCCGAGTTATCCGGGGTAACTCGGGTCCGGGGTAACTCGGGTTTGGATTCCCGAGAAAGGAACCCGAGTTAGCCCTGACCCGAGTTACCCCTGATGATTCGGGGCTCTGGACGCCCGAGTTATCCGGGATAACTCGGGTCCGGGGTAACTCGGGTTTGGATTCCCGAGAAACGAACCCGAGTTATCCCTGACCCGAGTTACCCCTGATGATTCGGGGCTCTGACAATCTGTGATGGTCCCGGGGCCCGAAGCAGAGCAGCGCCGGCCGCTGTGGTAAATTGCGGCGCGAGGCGCACACGGGCACGGCTCGTCCACGGGGCCGGTGCCGCCGCCGGGCGGCACGCCGAGGGGCTCCGTGGCTCCCCCGCTGCTTCCCCCCTGGGGCATGCGGCAGCGAACCCGGGGGGGGGGCGGGGCGAGTCGGGGGCGCGCAGACATGGATCAGCGTTGTGGATGCCAAGACAATGGACACCCTAACAGTCCTAGCATTGAATTAGAGACGTCTTTAAAGAGTGTAAAACATGTTCAAAAAAGGTTTCAAACATGCTTTTACAAATTTAAGACATGTTTGAAACATCTTTTAGACGTCTGGGAATTATTTGGCAGCACGCTTCCTCTCCATTAATCGACATCCACAAGATTAGCGATCCATGGATCTGGCGCGCGGTCGCCAAATCCACGGATCAGGGGGAGGTGGTCTCCCCAAAATGCGGCCGGAACTGCACCGCTCGTTGTCGGAAATCTGCGATTTCCCATAGAAACGGGACCCGTCGCTAATCCACGCCCCGTTGAGCCATGTTTGCGATCGCCTGAGTGAGGGTACAGGCCTTCTGAGAAGGCGTCGGGGCTCCGCAGAAGCCCTCGCGCCTTCTGAGAAGTCGCCTGCGGCTTCAGCAAAGGCCGAATAACCAAGGCTTCTCGGAAGGCGAGAGGCTTCTCTGCGAAGCCCCACCGCCTTCTCAGAAGGCCTGCCGCCTGTCACATTCCACCCCCCCAGGGTTGTGATGTTCCAGCCTACAGCCTTGACCATCTGAAAGAATTTCGAGCACCAAGAAAGTACCGAAGCTAAAGGGTTCTCACGTGTCGGACCCTGGGATGCGATAGTCGTTCGACACCGTTTCGATACTTCTCTGGGTGCTCGAAACTGTTTCTGGGATGCGGTCCTTAAGTACGATGGGAACAACATGACCCCAGGCCCTCGCCGCCGAGACGTGGCGCTGCACCGTCGCACCGCCGAAGCGCGTCCGCGGGGCTGGGCGGGCGGGAGCGCGGAGCCCTACAGCGCGGCTGCACGGGCGTAGGGGGAGCGTCCCCAGCGTGCGGCCTCTCGCGTCGGCCAAGAGACCACGCCAGGAGGCGGGGGACAGGCTCGAAGGGGGGGTCCTCCTCCTCCTCCTCCTCCTCCTCCTCCTCCTCCTCCTCCTCCTCCTCCTCCTCCTCCTCCTCCTGCTCCTCCTCCTCCTCCTCCTCCTCCTCCTCCTCCTCTCCTCCTCCTCCTCTCCTCCTCCTCCTCCTCCTCCTCCTCCTCCCATGACTTCGTCATTGCTCTCGTCTCGCCTCCTCCTCCTCCTCCTCCTCCCTCCTCCTCCTCCTCCTCCTCCTCCTCCTCCTTCTCTCCTCCTCCTCCTCCTCCGCCTCCTCCTCCTCCTCCTGCGGGGCAGCATCGACCTGGAATCGGCGATGTGTCGCCGATAGGTCGGCGACAGGCCCTCGATGACGAAACCACGCGCTCCTGGGCGGAGAGGGCCTTGGGGCCCCCATCCGGCGACGACCAGTGTGCGAGTGGGGATTCGATGCGTCCCCTCCTGAGCCTATACTTAGTCGGGCCTGTCCTCCTACAGGGGGATTTTGGACGAAAAATGAAAAATTGACAAAAATACACCAACATGCTCAAAAATGGTCAAAAAAACGTCCCCTTACTATTTTTTGTATTATTTCTGAATATTTCTCCTGTAGAGGGACAGGCCCGACTTGAGCCTATATCCACACAACAAGTGCCCCTGACCAGCACCGCGCAGACTCGTCCTGGGAGCTCGCAGCAGCTGCACGGACGGGGGGGGGGTCGGTTTCAGAGTTGAGGCCATGCGCCGTGCACACTCGCCTTCGGAGCTTCCGGCAGTGGCACGGAGGAGATCGAGGCCGTTTCAAGAACGAGTCGAACGCCTGCAGCGCCGCGCGCTCTCGCCTTACAGCTTGCCACAGATACACGCACGGAGGGCGGCTCCACTACAGAACTGATAAGCATCCTGGAGAAAGAGGGCGGTTGGGCAGTTCCTCTACAGAATGGGGCTCTCGTTTGAAACTTCCTCAGAATATACGGGCCGACCATGTTTGGCGGCGCGCACAAGGGGGTAGGGGGAGGGGGGAAGGCTTCTTAGAAGGAGGCTGCTTCTTAGAAGGCGCCGGCCTTACATCTACCAAGAAACCCCGCGCCTTCTAAGAAGCAGGGGTGCTTCTAAGAAGCCTTACCCCCTCCCCCTACCCCCTTCTGCGCGTGGCCAGCATGAGACGACATAATCAAACGAATCCCACCGAGAAACCTGGACCCCACAGGACACCATGTTCCCGCGGCAATTCTCGAGCCAGATCATCCTGCGAGGGCCCCCGGGCCCAGAAGTTCGTCCCGGCTTGGTGTACGACGCCGGGGTCCTGGTAAAGTGGGGACCCATGCCAGGAAACACCCTGCTTGCCTCCAGGGTGCCGCGGGCTTCTTGAGTTTCCATGGTTCTGCTATTGAGACGTCGGCAGAAAAGATGCGTGTCGGTGGCGGCCTTGGAATATGCTTTGCGGCAGTATTGAAACAGTTGACCTGTGCACCCGTGCAATGAAAGTTCCTTGTGTAGATGGTTTACAAAATGATGTCCTGTTTTGTGGCGGTCTTACAATAGGATCTCCTCCGTGGCAGCCTTACAATGAGGAGTCGCTTAGCGAGCCTTGCAAAAGGATTCGTTTTGCGACGGCCGTACACAAGGATTTCCTTGTGTAGCGGCCTTAACAGAAGCATGTCCTTGCGTGGCGCCCTTACGACCTGGTTTCCAGATGTGGCACCCGCAAATAAGGATTTCCTTTGCAGCAGCCTTACAAAAGGATTCTCGCGACTGCCTTACAAACACATTATGTGTTGCAATGGCCTGGAACGGCCTTGCAAAAGAATTCACTTTGCGGCGGCCTTACGAAATTGACTCCATGTTGTGGTGACCTGACAAACAGATTTCCTTGTCTAGCTTACAAAAGGGCTTCCTTGCGTGGAGGCCTTACTCAATGGTTTCCAGATGCGGCACCCTCACAGAAGGATTTCCTTTGCAGCAGCCTTGTAAACGGATTCTCGCGACGGTCTTACAAACATATTCTCGTTTGGAACCGCCTGTAACGGCCTTACACAAGAATTCCCTTGTGCGGCGGCCTTACGAAAAGGATTCCATCCTGCGGTGACCTGACAAAAGGACTTCAGCTTGTAGCAGCATTACAAAAGGATTCCTTTCGAGGCGGCCTTACAGCAGGATTGCCTTTGCGGCGGCCTTAGAAGAGGATTTCCTTTGGGGTGCCCTTACAAAAGAATCTTCCTCTTGTGAGTGACACAGGAGAAAACCAAGGAAACAAAGAACAAAAAATGCAACGACTTGTAAACTTATAATGTGTTTACTGATTTAGGCCAGAGACTGAAAAATGCTAAAACACATAGTTCTCGGCCATCGGAGCCCCGAAGCCCCAAAGAATACAAAGTGTTCAACAATGGGAGCTCCGAAACACTGAAAAAAAACACATCATGTTCAGCCATCGGAGCTCCGAAACGCTGTAAAACACACCGCTTTCAACAATCGGAGCTCCGAAACGTGAAAATATACAATGTGCAGCCACCAGAGCTCCGAAACGCTGTGTGTTACAAAGTGTCTGAGCTCCGATGGTTGAAAACGCTGTGTTTCCGTGTTGGTGTCAGCCTCTGGCACCAAAATTACTGAAAACACTGCAGTTGTCAGTATGTCATTGCTGTGATGTGTTTGTTGTATTGGTTTGTTATGTCCGTGGTTTGCTTCTGCATCACCCGCAAAAGGAAGTCATGTTGCAAGGCCGCCAAAAAAGGGATCCTTGTGTAAGGCCGCCACAAAGAACCACCACAAAAAGAATCCTTGTGTAAGGCCGCCACAAAAAGGAATCCTGGTGTAAGGCCGTTACACAACGGATTCACTGTGTAAAGCCATCACACGAGGGAAATCTTGTTGTCAGGTCGTGCCAGTAAGAAATCCTTTCGCAAAGCCGTCGCGACGCAAATCCTTCTTGCAAGGCATTTTCTCGAAGGTCCTCAGCCATAAAATCGCCAGGCGAACTTGCACGGCTGTTGGCAAGGCAACCTGCAGACTGCACGTTCCAGGGCACTTGTTGAAGACCCTGACCGCCCCCCGGGGGGACCTGGCCCGCGCGACCGCGCGACGCGGCGGGCTGGCGGGCTACTGGTCGAAGTTGCCCACCTCGGGAGGGAGGGGGAGGGGGCATGGAGGGAAGAGACAGGGAGGAGGAGGAGGATGGAAGGAAGGGGGAGGAGGAAGAGAAGCAGGAGGAGGAGGGGGAGAAGGAGGAGGAGGGAAGGAAGAGGAGGAAGAGGAGGCGGAGGACAAGCTTGGTGCGCTCGCGCCACATCTGACGCCTGTGGGACCTGGTGGAGGAGGAGGAGGAGGAGGAGGAGGAGGAGGAGGCGTTAGCATCACGAGCCCTGAGATCTGAGGTTGCAAAAAATACTACATCGCAGCAAATCACGACCAAAGCCCCAGACCCAATCTTTCTGCACAATCATTCGACCCCGATCGATTTGCGAGGACCCCAGAGCCCGAACCCAGGCGAAAAAAACAAAAAACATGTAGAAAAAATGCAGCGCCAGGATCTGAAGGACGGCGAGACGGGCGAGATGAGACAATGTGAGACGAGATGAGACCAGTCGCGAAGCGAGTCTCTGCAAAATTCAGGGCTCCGAGACTCCTTCTCCCAGCCTCGCTGAAAACGTTGGGCCAAAGGTCACGGAAAATGCGGTCAAAATATGCCCGCCGAGTCCAGGTGACCAAGGCGGGGGGAATCTTACGGGCAGGACAAACATCCGCCAGGCCAGGCAATTGCTGCTGGCCAAAACGGCCACAGGCTTTACAGAACCAAAGGTCTTCAGTGTCATGGTACAGCATAATGTGGGAAGCGTGGGCCACACCCCCAGCGAGATGTGCATCTGAACCCCGAGGCAATTTAGACAAGTCGCTAGACACATTGAGAAGGTCGAAACAGCCAGTGGCCAACAATTTAATTTTGCCCGCTTTTGTGGCAGAACTCTTACACCTGGAACATTGTTGCCCACAGTCACGCAAAGAATGCTGGGAAAGTAAACAGGGTCACGTCAACAGGAGGCGGGAGGGAGCAACAGCAGCAGCAGCAGCAGCAGCAGGGCGCGTTGTTCTTCCCGCTCAACCTCGATCGCCTCCAAAGCGGTCCTGAGTAACCTTTTCCGTAATGAGCCGCACGTCCGGTTCAACTTGGAGCAAAACGCGCACGCTGAGAGCACGAGACAGCAGAGCACCTGGCAGCAATGCCTGCCAAGTGGTCCACAAAAAAACAATTCCTGCCACAAGGACTGCAAACAGATTACATGAACATAGGTAGGAAAGGGAGGAGGAGGAGGAGGAGGAGGACATGCCCATCCTCTCTTCTCCCCCGTCCTACATATGGTAGCGGTGGTGGAAAATTGGCCCATCATTACAGGCAACAACCTCTTCAGCCTCGAAGTGAAGAGGAATCTGGAGCACGGCAACATCACCAGGATGACGATCCGTCGCCCGAATGACCTCTCCAAACTTCCTCCGCAAATCGACGACCGGCCCCATGGGGGCCTCGAAATGTCGGAGCCAAAAGCCCCGAAAGACATCCACGTCGTCAATCACGCAAGCCACGGGGCCCCGAGAGAAAGAAACGGCACAAAGCAAGCAAAACATAGCAAAGCAGATCCCCCCTGGGGACGGACTGGCGCCGACCAGGCAGAGGACCATATGGGAATTTACATTCGGGCTCGCGGGGCAGGATAGGGCTACTCGACGCACCGACTCCAGCCCCACGGAGCCTGGCGTCGCGAGCGCCAGCCCCTCCCGGGGCGCCTCCGAGTAGGAGGAGAAGGAGAGGGGAGAGCAGGCACCGAAGTAGGAAGAATGGGATCGAAGTCCGGGTGACTCCGTATCCACACATCGTCATCACACGGGGGGTCTACCACTACCGTATCACTCGGAATGAAACCCCTCAGCCAGTAGCATTCACAACTACTCGCCTGGACGAGGGCCCTGGGTACCAGCTCGTCGGTGGCTTTGGGCATGGGCGACCCTCTGTTACAAGCGCATTCCCAAACTCCATGCATGGGCACCTCAGGGCCCTCCCACACCTACGACACAACTCACGGGCTTCAAAACTAATCAGTTTTATCCTTGCATCAGTCCAGGACCCTCCGACAGATATCATCATCATCAGTTCGCTGAGCTGCCGCCCGAGGTCAGGAATGTTCTCGGGCTGGAAAAGGCATCGCCGAAGGCTGAAAGTGCCTCCTCCTCCTCCTCCTCCTCCTCCTCCTCCTCCTCCTCCTCCTCCTCCTCCTCCTCCATTCCTCTTCCTTATAGACTCCTCCCTGTCACACCCCGAGGCTGGTCGAAAGGGCGGGCCGGGCGTTTCGCCTGAGACTTCCTCGCCGCTTACGACCCTGATGCCAAATGGAGGGTGGGGGGCTTTCAACAGGTGGCTCTCGCCTTAACGCCGCGCACATTCGCTTTGAACATTTGCCGGAGCTTCACGGATTGAGGGCAGGTCGCTTTTTTCTATGGCTCTCGCCTCAGAGCCGCGCACATTCGATTTAAAAGTTTGCAGCACTTTCACGGATTGAGGGCGGATTGTTTTCCCCATGTGGCTCTCGCCTTAGCGCCACGCACATTCGTTTCAACAATTTGCTAGAGCTTTATGGATTGAGGGCGGGTCGTTTTCCCCATGTGGCTCTCGCCTCAGCGCTGCGCACAATCGTTCTAAAAAAATTGAAGAGCTTCACGGATTGAGGGCGGGTGGTTTTCCCCATGTGGCTCTCGCCTCAGCGCCGCGCACACTTGATTTAACAATTTGCAAGAGTTTCGCGGATTGCGGGCGGGTGGTTTTCCCCACGTGGCTCTCGCCTGAGCGCCGCCCATACTCGTTTTTGCACATTTGCAAGAGTTTCACGGATTCTCAGTTACGTGCCAGAAACGACGTTCTGGAACGATTCATGATTGTCAGGGCGCATTAGTTACGTTGATTCGCGTTGTTGAAGGAAAGGTGTTCTGGCACGATTCAGGATCGCCAAGACGTAACCATCAGGGTAGCTAGTGGCATTGAAGTCCTGAGAATGATGTTTTGGCACGCTTCAAGATGTTCACACGGTTGTCCCCCAACGGGGCAATTCCCTCAGTCAAAATCACCCCTTATAATAACCTGTATCGAGAGATCTTGGAGAGAGGGTGTATTTCAACATTGTTATGAGTTTTGGGTTTGCACAGGTCCACCTCCTGCTCCTCCTCCATCCTCCTCGACCTCGAATAGGGCGAGTCCTTTGCTGGCACCGAGAGGTCCCCTGGGCCCACCCCGCCGCCGTCGTCCTCCGGCAGCGGCATCGCGTAGGAGTTCCACGAGGCCCTCCGCTCCAGGTCCTCGGGGACCCGGCGCGCCGCAGACCCAGATCTCCAGCAGTGTGACTGTCTCGATTCTCGGCGACATGAATTCCTCGATTATTGTTCGGTTCTCTCGGAAATCCTGGCGTCGCAGTTCTTTCGCAACGGGTGTTTTCGCCAGGTTTCGGGCCCAAGAACCCTCACAGATCGATCTGGCTCGGAAAATTACCCAGAAAGATGGGATCCAGAGATCTGGTCGCAATTTGTTGCAATGCTGCATTATTTTTGCAGCGGCGGATCTCAGGGAGTGGGGTGGAAGCAGATCGGGTCGTCGGTAGATCGCCGCACCACCGGTGCAACGGCGATGCAGCTGGATGTGGCTCCCGATCTTCTCCACGCCGATTCATCGCCGATGCAGCTGCTGTGCATCGGCGCGGCGCGACCCTCCGACCCCATCTGCTCGGACCTCCTTCGGGCAGCCTCCAGCGAACGTCGGCGCGCACATGGCGGCGACCCACCGACGAGGAGCCCGACGAATCCCTGCCTCTCTTCGGGGCACCTCCCAGGGGGGGCGGGCCTCGACGCCACGCCAGGCGCGGCTCGGGAGCACGGGGCGGCACAGGCCCCTGGTGAGGCCCCGGGGCCGCGGATGGGGTGGGGGCGGCGCTTCTGTAGAAGAGGAAAAAACAGCATGAACAGAAACTTTTGGCGCTCTGCGCGGATTTCTTGGCTCCGCGCCGAGCCCCCCTCCCTAGCGCGCGGAGCGCGCCAAGGGGGGCGCCGGAGGCGCCGCCGGGGAGACCCGACGCGGCTCTAAAAAACCCGCGCGGAGCGCCAAAAAAATACGTTTACGGCGGTGTTTCTCCTTCGGCTCCGAGAAGGCACGGTCTGAAAAGTCTCCTGGGAGGTGCCGGCCCCGCCGGAGAGGGCCCCTGCCCTCGCGAGCCTGCTGCCAGGATGGAGGGGGCGGGGCGAACGCCGGCGGCGTGCGCGCTCCGCGAGGGAGCCCGCCCGTGCCCATCGGGGCATGAAGGAACCTTCTTCGGGGATGGACAGAACCCCCTTTAGTAAAACGTGGTTTAGTGAAAACGACCTGAGGCCCAAACTTAGCGGGCGCAAGCCTGGAAAATAACGGCCGCGGCGCCCTCTCGAGAACCGAAAACGGACAATTCACTAATCGACGTGTCACTGTTGGGGGTTCTGTCCAGCCCCGACTTCTCCCGCCGAGCGGCTGTCGTGTGATCTCGCGGGTGGGGTGCCGAACGTCTGGCTCCACACAGGGCAGTTTTTGATGCATGGGACTTTCAAAAACATAGGATGTTTAAAACATGGTTATGAGCGAGCAACGACATATGTACATGTACGCCCTCCGCGATCTTGAGTGCACGAACGTCCTCGTTCAAATGCCCTCCAGGGGAAGCTAACCGCGTACGTGTGCATATGTTGCTGGCCTCTGAGGTTAACGTATGAACAAGTGTATGCATGAACTCATCGTTGTTTTTAGTACCAAACCCCTGCATGTTTCATACATGATCCGCGCGCGGAGCATGCATTGAAAACGGCACTGCAGGGTGCCTGTATGGAAGAGCCTGTGTCTCTCGCCGAACGGCTATACGTGGAATACTGATACGCCATAGGTGCTCTCCCGCCCGTGGGCTCCACGGTGCACTCGGGACACCGCGCGGCCGTTCGGGGCGATTCTGGGCCGCCTGGAAGGCTCTCAGCGAGACGCGGCTGATGGCAGGCTCCCTGGGGCCTCCTGAATAGAGAAAGAGAAGACGGCATAAACATAAATGTTCGCAGGTCCGTGCTTATTTCTTGCGATTGGCACTGGAGCCTCCTCCCTGGCGCGCGGAATGCGCCAGGGGCGACGTCGGAGGCGCCTACAGGAAGCCTCAGCGCCGATCCGAGAAATCCGCGCGGAGCTCCGAATGTTTATGTTTATGCAATTTGTTGTTCCCCGAAGAACTGGGAGCCACCGAAAAGATGTCCAAAGCGCCCAAACCTCCGACGGCGCGACCGCGCCAAGCCCGCGGCATTCGGTCAATGGCGAGCGCTCTGATCTCGCTACGTCGGGCCTCCCGTGCCAGCCAGCGTCCATCCAGCTTCGGGGGGTCCAAAAACCCTGTTCGGCGGCGAGCGAGGTGGGAAATTGATAAGGAGAAGGCGTTCTCAAAGGCGGCGGGACTTCTCGGAAGCCCTCTGGCCTTCTGAAAAACGTTCTGCGTCTTCGGGAAGACTCACAAAACAAAACCTTTCAGAAGACCAGGGGAGTTACCAGCCGTCTGAGAGGGCCCGCCCCTTCTCACTTTCCCGAGGGCTCGCCGCCGAAGTTCAGTTCAGTTCAGTTCAGTTCAGTTCAGTTCAGTTCAGTTGGGGCGGCATCAACCCGAAAACTAACACGGTAAGCTGCGCCGCGTTCACATACTGCGACAAACGACGCGTTGGCCACTCTCACAAATCAGCGCCCGAAAACACACTCGATCTTAAATACCAAGCTCTGATGGGAGGAGGAGGAGGAGGAGGAGGAGGAGGAAGCAGGGGAGGGCAAGGGACGGGTGGGGAAGAAAGAGGAGGAGGCCTCGGAGCGGCAGTCACAAATGACAATCAGCGAGAGCACTGTTGTGCTGACCGGTTGGCGCCGTCCTGCCATCGCATAGTGACGAAACCACGGGCGGCACGCACGAGTACGAGTGCGGCCCTCAGAACCAACACTGTTCTGCAGCCGCTGTGCTTCAAGCCACTTGCTGCTTCGAAACTTCAGGTGAATGACGGCCCATGGACAGCTGTTCCGAAGCCTCTGCAATTGCTCATCCAAAGATACTACTCGCTTACAATGCTTCATACTCCACCTTCCTCTCTGGCCCATGATAGTCGTGGCCTTCCTGCTCCTTCTCCGCACGTACTCGACCAGACCCTTGTGCGCATGCGGACGAAGACGCATCACGGAGCAAACAAGATTCCTTTGAATAGTGATGATGTGCATGTGCCTCAACGCTGTAGGTGGCCATCGTGTGCCGCGATGCTGCATGGTCGGTAACACGGTTATGTCCATAAGGGCGCACCGGAGAGTCACGGGCATCCTGGAAGCGACCTTGGAAGCGCAATTCCCGAAGTACGCTTTCCACATCGATTGAAATGTCCGCTGCCAGCACGTCTGGGTCGATCCGTTGTCCTGGAGTGTATGACCCCAAACAAAGAACTCCGCACTAAGCGGCCACTCTTCCATATCGTATGGTGCTTCCGTGCTGCCCCGTGGCACGAGGCACGATCTACTGCTGGGGTATGTCCCAAATTGACTGCAAATGGGCCTCGAAGTCTTCCAAGATTGCAATCGCCCATGTGAGCGACGAGCCTGCGCTGGATATGTTGTCGACATACGTAGCGACAGTCAGCCGGTGCCCTCCAGCTTCAAATCCATGTCTCGCCCATTCTCGATATCTGTCGCGTATCGTGCTTTCGACTGGCACGCGGCCCATCGCACCAGCAGCTCTGGACCCTGTGAGAGGTCCTCTTGAACGCGGTGTGAGCGGGATCAGTAGGTCCCCAACTCTGAGCTGGACCAGCGCAAGCATCTGCTGCCAGAGAACGCTCGCAGCCAACGCATGGGACGCCCCGTTGTCTACCAGCCAGCGCGCCACCAATGACAGCACAGTGCTGTCGTATTTGTTGTTCGATGTCTTGGTCTGTGCTGTCGCCCCCTGGCTGTGGCCGCCCAGGGCCTTCTCAATGGCAAGGTGTAGCCCATTGGGCAACATCGAGCACTTGGGCCCAGGGCCGCGCTCCCACGAAGGTGCCCGGCACGGTGAGGGGCAGGCGTTGTCCATGACGGGATTCAAAGCGGCCGCTAGGAGACAATCACAGGTGGTGGTGGCGCCCCGCGCGGTGACCTCGGAATCCCCCCCGGCCTCAGCGCGCGGTCCGTCGCCTCACGGTCTTGGGACTCTGGAGGCCCCAGTCGTACGAGACGCCCTCGTCATTGCACCGACCCTGCAGACGTGCTGCCGCGGGTGTTTGCGCGGATTTCTGTCCGTGCGAATCCCCGAAACGGCAAGCGAAAAACGAGGTGAATGTCATGTGGATGTTTTGTAGTCTTCATTCCTGGCCAATAGCAACCGCACGAAATTCATACCCAAATCCATACCGAAATTCACCGGGACAATCTGCGCCCAACCCATTGTTTTCCGAACGAAATCCGCTCTGCGATGTTGGCGCCATGACACTCGGAGAACGACCCGCGTCCCAAGACCGCGCGGCGGCCCCAGATCCCCACGGACTCACCGCGCGGTGTGGTCACCACATCGTTCGGTGGCCCCCGCCGCGGCAGCTTGGAAGCGGCTGCGGGGTCTGCGCTGGGTGGGCCCAGAAAGCAGCTGCCAAGAGAAGGGGGCGAGAGCAGACCCGCTCAGAATCGAGTCCTGGACCCCTCTCAGGGTCGAGACGATGATGATGTTGATGATGATGATGCTGATGATGCTGATGACGATGACTGTAGTAATTGTATCAATAATCATAAGAATGATAACAATAATAATAAGCAGGTTAGTAAGAATACTAATAATAACAAAATGCTGATAATAGTAATGTTACGAATCGTACTGTTAATACTCAGAACAATAACAAAAGTAATAATGTGAATACGAATGCTAATAACAATAAGCATAACAGTAGTAGTACGAATACGAATGATGAAATAAGAATGGCCATAACAATGATGATGGGAACATCATCAGCAGCAGCATCATCCTCATCAGCATCATCATCAGCATCATCATCAGCATCAGCATCATCAGCAGCAGCATCATCACACAAGTTCTTCCAGCCGCATCCAGCAGCGGCGACGAGAGGCCCATTTTCTCCCCCCTCTGCTGGACAGAGCCCGTGCTGGTCCACCTGGGCCCCCGTACAGGCTGCAAGCCGCCACCGTCGTCGGCGGCGCCGTCGCTGGAATCGTCGCCAGGTCGCCGCCGCTGTCCTCCATCCGGCCAGTGGCGTCCATCGGCATCGCGAGTCTGCACAGCCTGGCAAGCCCGCGCACTCGCCGCGCGCGCAGCACAGGCCGGGGCGAGGCCGATTTTCTTCCTAATTTGACTCGTGTGACCTTGTGATTGTTCTTGGTACCGTTCGTGATACTTGACGAGGGCGTAGAACAACCTCGAGGCACAATATGTGCCGGTGCATTATTGAGAACATTCGTGGTACCAACTCGTGCTGCAACGGCTGCTATCCTTTGCTCGTGCTGTTCTTCGTCTCGCCGAGCTGGGGCCCCGAGGCCACCCGGGCTCCTGGCCTTGCCCATCCACGAAGGAAGCACTGAAACGGACTGATGAAGAAGCAGAGGCAACTCCAATGCCGTCGGCAAACGCTAGGGGTCGAGCAGGGCGAGGCCGAAGGAGACGCTGGGGCCCACGAGACGCCGGCTCGAGGCTCGAGGCTCGAGGATCGAGGGCTGGGACACGTCTTCCCCCTTTTGTGGGACCTCCAGGGGGTGCCCCGTCGCCACGGCGGGATTCCCTCCTCCTGTCCTCCTCCTCCTCCTCCTCCTCCTCCTCCTCCTCCTCACTCCTCCTCCTCCTCCTCCTCTCCTCCTCCTCCTCCTCCTCCTCCTCCTCCTCCTCCCCTCCTCCTCCTTCCTCCTCCTCCTCCTCCTCCTCCTCCTCCTCCTCCTCCTGTTCCTCCTGCTCCTGCTCCTCTCCCCCCCTCCTCCTCCTCCTCCTCCTCCTCTCCTCCTCCTTCTTCTGCTCCTCCTCCTCCTCCTCCTCCTGCTCCTCCTCCTCCTCCTCCCCCCGAGGTTCTGGCCGGAAGGCACCTCTGGACATGTCCAGGGGTCGATCCAAACACGTGCCTCGAACGGCAGCTCGAGACGGCCTGCCATTCCCCACCCACGAGGTCTGGGTCCACGTCCCCGAACATTGTCCTGACCAGCCCAGCCGTGGCCAACAGGGCCACTCAGGAGACCAGGACAACCATGAAACTCCGCCAACATCCTCCTTCTCCTCATCTGGAGGTATCTGGAGGTCCCCCCCTGGAGGACACTGAAGCCCTCCGACAGCGCACTTGGCCTAAACCATCCAGACCTTATCCTCATCCCATGGTCCTCCTCCTCCTCCTCCTCCTCGTGCTCCTCCTTCTCCTCCTCCTCCTCCTCCTCATCCTCCTCCTCCTCCTCCTCCTCCTCCTCATCATCATCATCATCATCATCATCATCATCATCATCATCATCATCATCATCATCATCATCATCGTCATCATCAGCATCATCATCAGCATCAGCATGATCATCATCATCATCAGCAGCACCATCATCATCATCATCAGCATCATCACCATCATCACCATCATCAGCATCATCATCAGCATCAGCAGAATCATCATCAACAGCATGATCATCATACTCAGCATCATCATCAGCATCATCGTCATCATCATCATCAGCAGCAGCAGCGTCATCATCATCAGCAGCAGCATCATCATCACCATCAACATCATCAGCATCATCAGCATCATCAGCAGCAGCATCGTCATCATCATAATCATAATCATCATCATCATCATCAGCAGCAGCATCATCATCATCATCACCATCATTATCATCAGCAGCAACAGCATCATCATCATCAACAACAGCAGCATCAGGATCCTCATCAGCAGCAGCAGCAGATTCAGAACCATCATCATCATAATCATCAACAGCATTATCATTAACTGTGACATTAACATTAATATTAGCATCATCGTCATAAGCATCATCAGCATCACCATCATCATCAGCATCATCAGCACTATCAGCATCAGCATCATCAGCATCATCAACATCAACATCAGCATCATCAGCATCAACATCATCATCAGCAGCAGCATCATCGACAACAACAACAGCAACAACATCATCAGCAACAGCATCAACAACATCAGCATCAGCATCATCATCAGCAGCAACATCATCGACAAAAACAACATCAACAACATCAACATCAACAACATCAGCATCAACAACAGCAACCTTAACAACAGTATCGTCGTCATCGCCATCATCACCACCATCATCATACTTCGAGTCAGGATTGCCAAACAGCAACCTTAGCAGCACCACCATCCTCACCATCATCGCATCATCATCACCACCACCATCCATCACCACCACCACCACCATCATCAACATCATCATCAGCATCATCATCAGCAGCATCATCAGCATCATCAGCAGCATCAGCAGCATCATCACCAGCAGCATCATCATCAGCATCATCGTCAACATCATCATCAACATCATCATCATTAACATTGACATTCACATGAGCATTAGCATCATCGTCATCATCGTCATCATCAGCATCATCATCATATTCATCATCACACGGTATCCTCGTCCTCGCTTAAGGCTTAAGGGAGATGAGAAGGCTTACCTTTGTCAACACGATCCTCCTCCTACTCCCTCTTCTCACCCTCCATCCTCTCTAAAGGAGACGAGAGCTGATTCTCCACCATGCGATCATGACAATTCCTGCTTTCGACGGAAGAGGGGCCCATTTTCATGGTTCACGATACCGCCCGTTACTGGCCCAGCCCCCTCCCTCCTGGTAACGTCACGATTCGCGCCAGAGATGTCTGGGAATGCCTGGGATTCCTGGGCACTCCCAGGCATTCCCAGACGGCGCTGGTGCAAATCGTGACGCTATCGGCCCCCGATAAGAAATGTTTCGAGGAGGATGAGGAAAAAAAGGACGACACGCAGCGACGAGCGACGGCAGGGGGGAAGAGAGGGGCGGGAAGGAAGGAAGGAAGGAAGGAGACGCGCGAGCAGTGCTGTATTCAAAACGAGAACCCAACGCAGGAGGGTTGGGAAAAAGGACGACTCGCGAGCCGCAGCACCTGACCCGGACCGGGGGGGGGAACGAACCTCTCCCGGCCGTTCCTGGCGGCCTTCGCCCGGCCGCCCTCGCGGGCGGGCGCGCGCAGGGGGGCAGCGCTGCAGCGCAGAGAGGAGACAAGAAGAGAGGAGAACGAGGAGGAAGAGGACGGGGGCGACTCTCCTGTATACGATCCTCATGCTCCTCTTTCGAAGAGCGGCATGCCTGCTGAAGTCGTCGAGGGTCACCGGGCCACTCGACAAGTCCCTCCTGAGGACCCTGCCAATGAGCTGGCGCGCGACCTCCTCACCGGGTATGCAGCTTCTTCTTTCCCTTCCTCCTCCTCCTCCTCCTCCTCCTCCTCCTCCTCCTCCTCCTCCTCCTCCTCCTCCTCCTTTTCCTCCTCTTCCTCTTCCTCCATTCCTTCTCCATTCCTTCTCCTCCTCCTCCTCCTCCTCCTCTTCCTCCTCCATTCTTCGATTCCTCCTCCTCCTCCTCCTCCTCCTTCAGCGTCTTGACTGCGATAGGGCTCTCGCTTCAGACCTCGCTCGGCTGCAAGAGCCCCGACGCCTCAGACTGTGCAGCAAATCCACGGACGGAGGGCGGCCCCTTGCCCAAGCGGGGCTGTCGCGGGACACTTCCCGGAAACTTCGGAGGAGGAGGAGGAGGAGAGGCACGGAGGAGGAGGAGGAGGAGGAGGAGGAGGAGGGGGAGGAGGGGGAGGAGGGGACGCGGCCGCGGACGCGGACGCGGCCGCAAGAAACTCTCGCAAGAAACCTGACCCTGAGAACCCGCGGAGGGAGTGGATCTAGGGAGGGAGCCCAGAGCACCCTGAGCGCAGCAGCTTCCTCGACGGCCGCAGAAGCCACCGCGAAACGCGCGGAGCGAAGAAACCCAAGGTATCCTGACGAAAAGCGCTCGGTTTCTTGATGCGCGCCCCCGCTGTAAAGTCTGAGTGGGGGGGCGGACTCTTCCAAGGCGGGCCTCCCGCCCGAGGGGAGGGCCCGTGGGGCGCTCGTCTGGCAGGGGGGAGGGGGGGGGCCTCGCGCAGTGAAGCACAAATGTCCGCAGGGACTGACGCGGAGGGGACTCGCGGGACGCGAGGGTGTATGTTGCAGCATCGTTGGTACCTCTTGGGTTTGCGCTGGCCGCTCGTCCTCATCATGTTCCGCGTCTCCCTCCTCATCCTTCTACTCCTCATGATCACCACCACCATCATCAGCAGCATTAGCATCAACAACAACAGCAGCAGCAACAGCAACAACAACAACAACAACAAACCAGCGACGCCCCCTGGCGTCTGTATACACGCAATACTAGAGCTCGATTCGTCTGTGCATACGGAGCACTAAAGGCCGATCAATCCGTGTATCGGGCACACAAAAAAATTATGGCCGATAATTCCGTGTATACAGGAAAATGGCTGCGGGCCAATCCGCTGGCCCCCTTGTGGGGCCACCAGGCTGTAGGCGCGGGTTCGCAGTTTCCTGTACCAGTTGTAGCTTGTAGTTTCCAGTGTTACAGTTCTGCTTCTTGCTGGTTACTGTAACTAGTTGATTGACCGCGCGAGGGGGGGGGAGGCCCAAACCAGATTTTTAGCGTCTCCTGGGCGCGTTGTCTGAATTGCTGGGGGGGCTCGAAATCGACACCCCTCACGCAGATCCGCGGGGTCAGGGTCCAAAAACACAGGGGATTTGCCACATTTCTGAAATTCGGTGCCACCCCTCACGCAGATCCGCGGGGTCAGGGTCCAAAAACACAGGGATTTGCCACATTTCTGAAATTCGGTGCCACCCCTCACGCAGATCCGCGGGGTCAGGGTCCAAAAACACAAGGGATTTGCCACATTTCTGAAATTCGGTGCCACCCCTCACGCAGATCCGCGGGGTCAGGGTCCAAAAACACAAGGGATTTGCCACATTTCTGAAATTCGGTGCCACCCCTCACGCAGATCCGCGGGGTCAGGGTCCAAAAACACAGGGGATTTGCCACATTTCTGAAATTCGGTGCCACCCCTCACGCAGATCCGCGGGGTCAGGGTCCAAAAACACAGGGATTTGCCACATTTCTGAAATTCGGTGCCACCCCTCACGCAGATCCGCGGGGTCAGGGTCCAAAAACACAGGGATTTGCCACATTTCTGAAATTCGGTGCCACCCCTCACGCAGATCCGCGGGGTCAGGGTCCAAAAACACAGGGGATTTGCCACATTTCTGAAATTCGGTGCCACCCCTCACGCAGATCCGCGGGGTCAGGGTCCAAAAACACGGGGATTTGCCACATTTCTGAAATTCGGTGCCACCCCTTACGCAGATCCGCGGGGTCAGGGTCCAAAAACACAATGGATTTGCCACATTTCTGAAATTCGGTGCCACCCTTCACGCACATCCATCGCAAGGCGTGGTATCCCAAACTGCGAGAACTCCCTCGGCCCTTTAATCGCAAGGTGTGGTAACCAAGCCCGTAAACCATACACGTCTTACCAATCGCCAGGTGTGGTAACCCCTCTTGTGATCAGTTGGTTTTGCTGATTGCGAATCGGCTTCGCATGAAGTTTCGATACTGCTTCACGACAGCGCCAAGGCCTCATGACTTAGCTCTTCCATGGCCCATTCTCCGAGAGAGGGGGCCGGCGGCAGGGGGCGAAGCCCTTACGGATATTACTCCGTGTATCGAACACACGGAATTATAGCGGCCTACAACCCCGTGTATAAAGAGTAATAAAGACCTGCTATTCCGTGTATCGGATACACGGAATGGTAGCGGCCAATTACCCCGCGGATCATATACGTGGAACGGTAGCAACCTATTACTCCGTGCATACGGGGTATAGGGGCCTCTTACTCCGTGTATCGGACGCCCGGCATAATGAAGTAAAATTACTCCGTGTATCGCATACATGGATAGTAGCGGCCTATACTTCACGTACACGAATTAGTACGGACCTATCACTCCGTGTGTCGGGCACACGAAAATAGGGGCCGACTACTCCGTGCAAACGGAATACTAAGGGCATATGATTCTCGTGTATAAGATACATGGAATAATACTGGCCTATTACCCCGTGCACACGGAATAATGAGGACCGATTGCTCCGTTCATCGGACACACGATTCAATAGAGCCCGATGGCTCCGCGAATGCAAATAATGGTGCCTACTCTTCCATGTATCATATACACGGAATAATAGGAGCTTTCTATTCCGTGTATGGACTACACTGCAAATGAAAGCCTCGTACTCCGCATATCGACTAAACACAATCATACCGGCCCGTTACTCCGCATACACGAATAATACAGCATTATTAATCCGTGTATCGGACACAAGAAATAGTAGCGGCCTCCAACTCCGTGTATGCGGAATAAGCGGGTCCTGCTTTTCCTTTGTACGGATACTCGGAATAATCAAGGCCTATTACTCCGTGTATCTGATAGACAGCATAATAAAGGCCTATGGTTCCGTGTATACGAAAAAAAAAAGCCGATTACTCCGTGTATGGGACACAAGAAAAAACACGGGCCAGGCCGGTATTATTTCTTGTGTCCCACGCGCGGAGTAATAGGCCCCTATTTATTCGCATATCCTATACATGTGACAATAGGCCATTGTTGCTCCGTATACACATGGTGATAGGCCGCCTATCACCGTGTGCACACGGAGTAACAAGGGCCTACTATCCCATGTATCGGATATACGGAGAAATAGAAGCCTATTACTCCGCGTATCGGACACACAAGATAATAGCGGCCGGTTACTCCGTGTATCGGATACACAAGATAATAGCGGCCTTTTACTCCGCGTACACGGACAAATAATGATCTATCACTCCATATATCGGACACACAGAATAATATCGGCCAGCTCTCCGTGTATACGGAATGATCAAAGCCTACTATTCCATGTATCGGATACACGGAGTAAAAGCATCCTGTTATTCCGTGGATCGGATACACGGAATAGTAAAGGCCTATGACTCAGTGTATACGGAAGAGTAAGAACCTGGTACTCCGTGTATCGGACACAATCATAACGGCCCATTAGTCCGTGTACCGGATACACAGAAGAAACTGCGGCTTATTACCCCGTGTATACGGATGTAGATGTGCCGACTACTCCGTGAATCGGAGAATCGGATACACGGAATAATACTGGCCTATTAGTCCGTAAACGGAAATATACGGGCCTACTATCCCATGTATCGGATACACGGGAAAATAACGGTTTATAGACCTGGTATCGGACACACGGAATAATAGCGACCTCTCACTCCGTGCATCGGATACACGACACGATCGCAGCCTGATTCTCCGTGCATACGGAAAAACCAGGGCCTACTATTCCGTGTATCGGATACACAAAGTGATAGACGACGAGAGGGTAAAACACTCAAGCGAATTACCGAAGACGCAGCCAAAAGCAGGCATCATCAAATGGAAGGAGGGAAGGGCGAGAATGGAGTGAAGGAAGGGAGGGGAGGAAAGAGAGAAGACCTGCCCAAATCTCGAAGTCGCCCCCGGCAGTAGGCCCGTCAGAAGCTTCAGACTCTCCGAATTCTCCTGGGAGGCGGAGCTCGGACGGATTTCGACGCGGCACAAACTCCTCGAGCACCGCAAAGAAACCACGGGCACATCCGACTATCTCACCCGTGCCCAGTGGAGCTGCATGATGATCACCTCCACCCCAGATGAGAAAGACGTAGGCAATAGGGATTGAGTTCTGGCGCGGGGTGCCAGAAGTAAGGAAATAAACCCGCTGGCCACATTGACACCTAAGTACTCCTCCCATCCTTCTCGCCCTTCCTCCTGATTCCGATGCACCCCCCCCCTCGGGTGCCTACCTGGCAGAGCACCACCCGGTTCGGAAGCATCCACCCGCACCACCAAAAGCACGCGTTTTTCTCCGTCCGCCTCCCCTGGCTCCTCTTCCGCTGGGCGCGCGCCACACACGCCCCGGATGCCTGGGAACGCGCCACTGGCTGCGAATGAGAAACAGGATGCGATGAAATGCTCCACCACGAGAACCCAACGCCAGCTGCGGCCAACGGTCCTGCTGAGCCGCACAGCCAGACCTGCGCATCGACGCCCGCGTTCATGCTCAGACCCTTCGGTTGCCAACGCCAGCCGCAAAATGCATGCCAGACCTTGCCGAGACGGGACGAACCGAGATCCCGCGAGAACAGCCATATATGAAGGAACCAGCTGCTAAAGCTTATACACCGAAATAGCATCTGGCGAAGAAGGCCACATCGAGAGAACCACACGCGAGTAAGATCGTGCCAAGCTGTAAGAACACAGCTGCAAAGTG